TTAAGAAGTATGTATCTTCTTCTTCTTATTCTTTAGCGTTTGTCCCGCTTGTGGCGGGTCCGCTTTTCTGATGTGTTGACGCCACTTTTCCCGATTGAATGCTTGATCGGGGTGGATACCAACTAACTTCAAGTCCATATGCAACGTATCAAGCCAGCGCTGCTTTGGGCGTCCCTTAGGCCGTTTTCCGGGCACGTCTGTTGAGGCCATCTTACGCACACTGTCATCGTTTCCACGAAGCACATGACCATACCATCGAAGACGAGCTTCGCGCATCTTATCAGCAATGGAGCTACACCAAAGCGTCTCGTATGGTATCGTTACGAATGCGATCTAAACGCGTGACACCAGCCGTCCAGCGCAGCATTTTCGTCTCCATTACACCGAGGCGGGCTTCATTTCTTTAGTCGTGGGCCAGCACTCAGCGCCGTACAATTGCCACCGGTCTTATGACGGTTCTATAGATCTTCGATTTGAGGCGTTCTGGAATCTTTTTGTCGCAGAGAACGCCCGTCATAGAACGCCACTTGGACCATGCAGTCCATTGAGGTTCCTGCTGACGTTTGCACTCGGCTCTTTGAGCTCGAGTATAGCATGCGAACCCACTCAATAAGCTCTTCGGGGACGCCATGTTGTCGTAAGCGTACCATATTACATCACGCGGAACGCGATCGAAAGCCTTTTCCAAGTCTAGGAAGGCAAAATGCAGAGGCTTCCGTTTCTCGCGGTGTTTTTCTAGCAGTAGACGAGCGGCATGTAGTGCATCGATGGTACTAACGCCGCTTACAAATCCACACTGGTTCGTGGCGAGCTGCACTATTTCTGCTGAATAACCTATTTATTTTATAATTATCACACAGGACAATAACTTCCCCTTCAACCTAAAAGGGAAGTAACTGATGATTTTCTATTGTTGATGAGAAGCGATATTCAATCCTACTCTTCTTGAACCATGCTTCAGTACAAAAATGGGTCGTTCGAAAGAATTCTGCTCCTACATT